AAAAATAGGATCTGGACACCCTGCATTGAGTGTCGACCATCACACATCAAAAACTGGGAAGTGAATGTCGAGCGCCGAGTTATAGTGGGAGACTGAAGTTTACACTGACCTCCACAGAGTACGGCAATTTACATATACACGAGAGAAGCCCGCGTGGCAAAAACCAAGGCAGTGCTTGAATTAGGGTTTGAGTCATCAGTAGCCTTGTTTTCCACAACCGTAGCAAACTAGTTATTTTGTAGGTGAATTACATCAACAACAGGCGATTATTTTCGCCCGTAACATCAAGGGAAAACTAAGCATACTCAGGCGTAGCGGGTGGTACTGGTTTAGGGCCCTTAAAAACAACCTTGCATAGCATCAGTGACTGGATGCCATATGACTCACATTCCGATTGAAATTTCTGCGACTTACCAAGTCCTGTGAGCCAGGTTTAGGAATCGAAATGTTCATCTCAGATGACTTTGCTGTCACTATCTCTGTTGAGCCAATACCATTTGGAAACACCACTTGACAACCATCAGTCTTGTCAATTGAAACAGTTGGAACACTTCCATCAATCTACACAATACCACAAAATATCAGTCAAGTATAGCGAAACGGGTTACCAAATATCTAACTACCCTTTGTCAAAGTTCTTTTTTTTTCTTCTTCTTTCAAATATTACATTTACAACCAAAGGTTTTTTTTTTTCTTGACATCTTTTTTTCTTCACAACTATAAATTTCCCCACAATTCTGTTAAAAATTCCTCCCCTCCCTGAAAATAAACCACCAAATTGCAGATAGAAATATCTCTCTATAACCACCAATACCTGGAATATGTGAGTATAGGTTAATAATCATTAATTTTAGATTAAGATCTTCATGAACAACATGATTTCTTTTAGTACATGTACTGAGTCACACCACCATTAATTGAGTGGCCACCCATGGGGGAATTGGAGGTGTAATGGGGGCTTGTTAAGGATTAGAATGAGGCTTTAGCTAGTAAAAAACAAATACAAACATGCTTTAAGGCAGCACGAAATAACATGAAGACACCATTTATTTTAAATGCCTGTCTGAATGCTTTTCATCAGTGGTCACTTTCAATTTCGGACTCCTATCTGTCATGACCACTTCCAAAACAAAGCCAGTACGTGTATTAAATTTTGTGTGGCCTCTTAAAAGGGGTAAGGACAAATACAAACTGTAGTCTGTTTTTTGTTTGTTTGTTTGTTTTTTTGGGAGGGGAAACACATTTAACATACATTAAATGCCAGGAGAAACAAAAAAAGCCATAACAGTTAAATCAATGACAGAATATCCACTAACTGCTTGTACCTGACACTCCATACTCTGGCAGTTGATAAACTCAACAGTGCCAATAGCTCCTTTGAGAACCACTGCTGTTTTCTTACAGCTATCTAAGCAGAAAAAGAACATTGAATGCTTGAAATCATTCAAAGGCAATCTGTAGGCAAGTTTATATTTTTAAGGCTAACTGACAACTTACAGCGTACCAGTGTACAGGCATGCTTTCTTTTCTTCTTCGAATGTGTCTTTTGTCCAAAGACAAAAGTAGTGCATCTGGTTGTATCCAACTTTTTGTCGTAGTGACTTGTTTATGCATTTTACCGCTTAACATTGATATACAAAAATGGCCTATTGTGGAACAATTGAGTCTTACAAATGAACATGTGGACTGGAACTAGCTTGCAATTGAGGCTCATGCTCCCCGCATTAGCCTCAGTTTCAGGCTAGTTCCAGTCCAATCCTGAGAATAAGAATAAGGGTTATTGATGTAAGTCTCACAGTACATGTCCAGTATTGTGCGGGGAAGCACTTGTAACTGTCATTTTCCATGTTTTAGCCCGTTAGTTTGTCAGTAGTTATTGTTGTTTAAAAATTCAACATGTTTGGAAATTATCCTTAAAGATATACTCATTTCCTTTAACGTCAGTGAATCTCATTATCATCTTTGAGCTTCACCTTCAGCCTGTAATTGTTAATTAAATAACTTATGAAAACAAATTTATTATGAACATTTAAATAATACCGTCCTGTATAGCTAATATTGTCAGTACTATGATTAACGATAAAAAGAAAAGTTACATGCACTAACCTACGACCATGGAGTTGATTTTCCCCTTGACTTGAATTGTACTCTTGTTACACTTATAAATGTAAACTGTTTGAGATGTTTCTGGCTCAGAGATAACCAGGTTTCGGTTGTCTTCTTGAAATTCCTGTGACAATAACACAAAATTGATACGAAATACAGAAATCGTTTGCATGATAAGTCAAAATAATAACAACCTTACCAAAAATTAATAACTCCTTCATTACCGCATGTAGCACATGTACTGGCAAATACACAATGATCACGCAATGGTATATACAGTTGAACCCCGCTAATTCGAACTCAGTTTACTTGGAATTCCCTATCATTTCAAACTCAAAACCATTTCCCTTGGAATTGCTATTCAGTCATTTACTATTGGCTATTTTGAACTCCCGCTATTTCAAACTTTTTTTGTTTTCCCAGAGAGTTCGAAATAGCGGGATTCAACTGTACATAATACTGGTACCAGTCAACTTTCTCCAAAACAAACAACATCTGGACAGCCATCAAACTCTTGTCTCAACTTAAGGTACAGTAGAGTAACTGTACCCTGATGAAGCTAACTCGACTACCACACATTCTGGCATTCTGGGAATACAAGAGGCAAGAGGAGAGAGTATAGAGAATAGGAGGTCGGGGGAGGGGGAGCCAGAAACCAATGCCAGCAGACTGCATGCGGAGCTGTCACTAAGTGCTGGCTGGCTGGATTTTGGGGAAGGGGGGGCCTACTGAAGGTGATTCAAAACTTAATGGCTGCCCTGCATAAGTACTTTTATGGGGTGGTGTTTGTTATGTTGTACAAACTGGACATGTATGTACATGTAGGTGACACCCCATCATGAGACCAATCATGCATTAATGGTCTGAAAACTTAAATTTGAGATCATGGGGTGCTTGAGTAGTATTTCTCTGACTCTAGAATGTGCCATTTACCAAACCTTGAAAAATTGGGTTCAGCTGGCAACACAGTGCAGTGTTAACAGTTAAGCTAAAATTGATGTTTTTAAAACTAAATTATTGCACATCAAAACAATTACCACAATCCATTTTTTTCCTTGTAGTTCAAACACTGGAGGTTTCTTCACAGGAGCAGCTGCCTTTGGTGCACCTCCACCAGAAGGTTTTGGCTTATCAGGAACTGGACCTGTCTTTCTCAAATCTTTATTTTTATGAGTCTTCTGGTCATCCCGTACCTTCCGTAAACCTACGTATGTGGAGGAGTAAAAGAGAGCTTAAGTGGTGTTGAATGTTTTATTTTTAAAGCTATTGTAGGGCTGGTTGATGAACGGATATGCAAGCATAAGCACAAGGCAGCATAAACATGACAGTGTTCAGGGCTGTAGCTAGTAACAGTGGGCAGACCAAGGCACTTGCCTTGATCATTTTGTTTGTGTGATCATCAACACCCTCAATACCTAGGAAGAGAATTTTAACCATGGACATTGCTTCAGTCATAATTTTTTTCTGGCCCTGGTGTTTCAAGTGAGATGAGCATACAACCATGCATTAAACACAAGTTGAAATGCACAGGGCCAGTGCCTTTTCAACTTAATTATAGCAATACAATTAATTATTCTACTGTTAGTAAGTTATGTTCTTTCTACATTGTAATCAATAATTCATATACAAAATAATAATAATAATAATAATAATAATAATAATAAAATTACAAATTAAAAAAAAATTGGTATACTGCTCCAACCTAATTGACCATGACAATAGACATTGTTGAAGTTTACATGTCTTCTTCAAAACTTTGAAAACAGTGTTGTGTTGTTTTATAAAATTATCACTAACCTCCCTGCTACAGTGTCAAGACCTTTTGATTTTCAAGATTTAGTTTTCTAGCTAAAAGTAATACAACATCATGAAATTCATGCATCAAGTAACCTCATCCAAATCATTATCATTATTATTTTTGCTTAATGAAGAAAACACACTGTACATATCACTGTTTTAGTCACTGTATACCATAGTTTAGCTTGAATTTGAAATTCGTTGCAAATGCAGTTTAAAAACAAGTTAATTTGGGAAGATAAATGTACAAAAGCATTGAAAACACTTGGGATAAGTGAGCTGCATTTAAAACCACTTTACAATGTACACCCAGGCGAAAATAAACAGTACATGTACCTGAAGCAATGTTTGTGCCTGCCTTGTTGATCTCACTAAATAAGGCATTAGCAGCTCCTCTCTCGGCATCTTGACCTGGTGCTGGTGCTTGTACTGGGGGTGGTGGTGGCACTTGTACAGGGGGAGGGGGTGGTGGTGCTGCAGGTCCAGCTCCTGCCTTGGCCACTGCTCCCTATTAAAACGTCAATCACTCTATCACGATTATAGTATATATCAAAGGCACAGGCAGCGCCAAGACTTCCATCCCTATACAACACATTCTGTTTGGCAATTACACCGCTGTACTTTGAACAGACCTTTTTGGCGAACATGAGGACCATATTCAGCCAAAAGATAGCAGAACTGCAAACCCCAAAGCTCATGACCATGACAGCAATCTACATTTCGAAACTGTAGATCATTTTATATCTTCCAATATATAGTTATACTTTGTTGTGTTATCTTTCCCCCTCCCTCCTGCACCCTCCAAAAAAAAAAAATAGACATGTTGAAAACTTGACCTTGGGTGTTTCTTTTATTAATCAATGACCAATAAGGATAAGGTCCTTGAAACAATCTAACATTCCTATGTACTTTTCAATGTTGGAACAGTTTACAAATATCCATTGTACGACTTAGAGTAAATGTAAAATAATGGCATGATTTTAAACAAACAACTTTTAGTACAGATACATGTACAGTAGGCAGGGGCATATATATAGATATTTGCCATAAACATCACTTGTCAAAATTCCCTGACTTTTCCCTGACTTTTCCCTTACAAAGTTTTATTTCCCTGTTCAAATATATACCATATGTCTGGATCTACTAGTCTCAACTAGCATCACAGCCATCCTTTCCACTCATACATTAAGACTGATAGGCTTAATTCAACAAATTTTTCATTTTCCTAAAGTAAAAATATCATTGTGATCACAGTCACCCCAAATGCATTTCTTCCAGCCTTCAAAGGTATTAATTCAGCTGTGTTAAATTATTTCAATTTTCCGTGACTTTTCATCAAAATGTATATTTTCCCGGGCTCATTTAATAAAGTTCCTTAACTTTTCCCTGATCTTGAAGAAGTTGCTTTTTACCACAATTGCTACTAATCTTGCCATCTGATCCGCTAATTTGCTGTTGTCGATAAGAGTCCAGACAACGCTGCTCGTGTGATATTGTGGTAAAAAACAAATCAAATGTGGTTTAGC